TCCGATGCTCGCGGGTTCGATTCCTCGCACGGCACGAGCATTTGTTTTCATGAGTATGATTGTTTGTATCGGTCTGGGTGTTTTCTGTGTATAATATGTATGTATTTACGAAAAAAAAATATCTATGTACTTGTATCAGTTATCTAGTACCCGTAACACAAGCTCTAGATAGCTTAACTTGGGACTAGATGGAGCTGTGTGAATTGTTCTGAGATTATTATTATTATTATTATAACTTTGGAAACCATATCTTTCGAAATAAACTATTTAGATTAAGTGATTTTAGTGTTGTGTGTTAAAAAGTTTTTTATTTAAACAAAACGGAGTCAGCCGCCTAACAGTACCAAGAAATTGCTACTACTGCATTTATATTATCTATAATTAAATTGCAGAATCAGCCTTACATACTTATCGATAAAGAATATAAATTAAATTTTAAAACCAATTATACGGTTTTCATTTCACTATAATGAAAACTTGTTCGATATCACTCCAACATATAGTTTTTCATTATGAATATAATTATTAGTATTAATCTTATAATATATGTAAATATATTTGCTACAGCGTATGTTGTACTAGAAGTTAATAACGTTGATAAGAAGGTTTTAGCTGATATACTAAATGAATTCAACGATAGTATAGATGCAAAAACAAAATATGATAAAGTTAATGCAAATGAAGAGATAGATAAAAATTATGCATTGGAAGTAAAAAAGGTTTTGAAAGACAAAAGTTACAATAATGAAGACTACTTTAATGATTTATTTAAAGCGAAAAATCTTGTAAAAAGCAATTATGATAATGAAGACTTTTTTAAAAGGAAGGCCGTAGTCAAAAGGGTAATACCACACGATTATCCTATATCGAAATTTGAATATGATTCTAAATATAATTCATACTATAGACCACTGGTCAGAGTACATAAAAGCAAAGCTATAGAAAAAAATGCTAATGATTTAGATAACCATAAAGATGTTTATAAGAATAAAGACATCGTTGATAATAAAAACATTATTAATAATAAAGTAAATCAGCAATTTGTTAATGAAATGAAATTTCTAGATAAAGATTTGTTAATACCATTTCAAGTTAAAGTTCCAAAACAATATAAAGTAAATAAGGAGGCAAATGAAAACATTGTTAGAAATATTAAGCATCTATTGACAAAAGTGAATGTAGCGAAGTACGATGGTAAATCAAATGTGATCGCTAATATGGGAAAATTAAGGTCGAAATTTCAAAAATCTGGTGAGGACCACGACCTGTACTCTCCGGGGAAACCGGTTCATGTTGACGTCGACGAAGATGAATCAACAGAGCAACCAAAGTTAAATTTGCCGATATATTCATATTGGAATTATTGGACGGTAGGATAACATTTTAAAACTTTTAAACTTGACACAGTCATTATTCATATGTGCAACTAACTGTACCGCGTGGATATTAAATTTAATTAAACTAAAATAAAAATAGCCATTGTTACTACTTATTACATCAACTACCTGCCAAAAAAAGACCCGTCAAAATCGGTCCAGCCATTTCAGAGATTAGCCGGAAGAAAAAGTAAAAAATTACAAAAAATGTTAGTTTGGTGCATGTACCGTATTTATATTCATATGCATATAGTAAAAAACGGTTATTTCAATATTACAAACAGATACTCCAACTTTATTTGTGTAAAGATTAGGAAAAATCACTGGATCTTACCACGTTCTATATATTTTTATTATAAAATATATCATCTCTTCAAAATATACATCCACATATACCTTCCATAACCTTACAAGCAATGCAGCTGTTGAAATTGCCAATTTGACAACTTTCTCCATGCATAAGTTATATGTAAGAATCTACCCTGTATAAAAGATTTTATTTACCATCTACCTGCTGCTGATTTGAAAATATTTCCTTTTTAATCATCCTCCACTGGTGCCCCGCCAGCGTAAACCGTTAGCGCAGGCGGGTGCACGATTCCATTATCATCCATCAAAAAAATCCAATTAAAAATGTAAGCACCAATCCAAAAAATGAGCCTTTTGAAAGAGTTTGCTACAGGCCTCGGCCTAACTTAATCCGACATTGTAATAATATAATGATAATATAACAATATAATAATATAATAACCCTGGACAATTCACACAGCGCCATCTAGTCCCACGGTAAGCAGAGCTTGTGTTATGGGTACTAGACACAGTTGTCTAGTACCCATAACACAAGCTTTAGCTAGCTTATCTTGGGTCTAGATGGTGCTGTGTGAATTGTCCTGAGATTATTATTATTATTATTATTTATTCTTCTTTATAAACAGCTAATGGCTAATCCCGGCCTCGCTCAGTCCCGGCCTCTGGCACACAATTGGAAGATTTTGGCGGTTAAATAGAAAAATGGCTGTATTGAAAATGTTCATTTTGGTCTTTTATTTATTTAAATTTAATTTCCCTTTAAAGTTTTAAATTTACACTAGGTATATATATATAAACCCTTGGTTTTTTTTTGTAAATACATACATAATATACATAGAAAACACCCAAACCGATACAAGCAATCATACTCATGAATACAAAAGTTTGCACCGTGCGAGGAATCGAACCCGCGACCATAGGACGTAAAGCGGTGAGCTAGACCGCTCGACCACCGACGCCGTCAACAATTTGTTTAACATTTCTTTTTGTTTTCAGTATGACAAACCTCTATATCAAGATCGGTGTAAAGGTAATCTTATTAGATATGGAAATCACTGTATTGAAGCTCCGCCACATTAAATCGGCGCCAAAATGTCCATACAAAATTTGCATATTCCTTAATTCCCTTCATACATACCATTTCTTCTATCGTCTGTGTTTCAAAAGTGTGTGACGTGATCCAAAAGGTCGTATCCGTCAAGTTAATAATAAGATTTTAATAAAAATATGGGATAGTTAATAGTTTGTATGTTTTATAAATATTTGTAGCCACATTGTATACAGTGTACTCCTAATTTACATAAAAAAAAAATGTCTAGTGAATATAACTTTATTATTGTAGAGGGAAGATGTAGTGGGTATGTTGTACATTAACATATAACTATTATTGTAGAACTTGAAGGTAGGTCTATTAGTTAAATAAATCAGTTGTCATCCAAAGGTTGTTTGATTCGATACACATACAACATATACCTTATGTTGAATGAACATAGAATTTCATGTACATAATTGTATTTGTCTAATAAATTCTGACATTGTAAAAAATCTTTATGTATAAAAATTACGTGTCACATTGTTTGTCAGCGATGGACTCCTAACGTACTGAACCGATCGAAAATTTGATTTGGACATTGCGTGCAATTTGATCCAAGCTGAAAGGTAGGATAGCTTACATCTCAATTTATAGTCACAATATTATTTTATTGATTTTTTTGTATATAAAGAAACTGTTAGCCACAGCAACACGTGGCCGGATCTGCTAGTTAGTTGGCTGGTTTTGAAGCTAGAACGATGACTTTTTATGTTTGACTTTTTTGGGTTAGATTATTTAATATTCTTTCTCTATTAAGTCAAGGTCACTGCTCCATACCGACGTATACACAGCTAAAAATAAAAAAATATAATAAAACAACATTTTACTAAAGACAAATTTATTTTTTTCTTATACTTTTAAACTATTTGGAATAAGAGAGCTAAGGAATCATTCATATAATGACCACAGCCATATTTATAAACTACTAACAAACAAATGAGATTGCTTTATCAAGATCTATCTTTACATAGTATAAAACGATTGCTTCCACTGTCTGTTCGCTTAGATCTAACTACAATGATTTCAGCGATAGATAGAGTGATTCAAGAGGAAGGTTTATATGTTTAATTCGTGTACACCCGTGCGAAGTCAGGGCGGGCAGCCAGTTTACGTTACATTATATAAAACCAAGTGGCCATCGCTGTCTCTCTTATATCTTTTAAATTACGCAACTGATTTTGAAGCGGTTTTTAATAGATAGCGTGATTCAAGAGGAAGGTTTATATGTATAATATATCTATGTACACCCGAGCGAAGCTATTTATATATATATATTCAACGTGCGTAAGCAAAAATTAACTTCCCAGATTTTTATTTATTTCATACTAGATACTCGACCCGGCTTCGTACGGGTGTACATGTATTATACATATAAACCTTCCTCTAGAATCACTCTATCTATTAAAAAACTGTTCAAAATCCGTTGCGTAGTTTTAAAGATTTAAACATATATAGGGACGGACAGCGACAGCGACTTTATTTTATACTATGTAATGATGATTTTCTAATTACATACAATCATATTGTACCTTCATGCAACATTGCTCTACGGTAGATTTGACATATCATAAGAATATGTAATAGACCTACATGAATAAAGATATTTTGATTTGATTTGATTTGAATAACTTACACAATATCCAATACATAATATACCTCCAGCAATTTTATATAATTTAAAACTCTACCTATTTTAATAAGTTTTTTTATTTAATATTAACGACTAAGTTGATAATTTTATGTCTGCAATATTTCACTTAATATATGTAGATTTAAACATACATTAACTAAAACAAGATAAAATATAGAAAATCGACTTTAAGGTTTGAACAATAAAGATTACATCCTAAAACTTGTAATTTTTCGTAATATTGTTAAGATAAACAAAATAAAACATTCTAATTAAAAGGTTAATTAATACGAATACAGATATTTAAGTTTCTGTGTGAGAAAGCATACGGTGTTATTTTTAATTTAACCAATAATAGACTCAGATCTGGAAATCAAGAATAGATCCACGCGAAGTAAAGTTTCTCTATAGACTTCAGCATTAGGTGTTTCATGAAAACTATATTAAGGTTGGTTAAAGGTAGGCACCGTGCATGTGACGCCCCTGGTGTATCACGCGTCCATAGACTACGATAACGTTTACTGATGGGCCAAATGGCTAGTTGCCACCGCTGTTGTATTAAAAAAAAAGTTAATAAAGTAAAAAAATACAAAATAAAATCACTTTTTAACTGGTACATATAAAAATTACATAAGCACATATGTAGGTGCAGATTCGACTCCGCAATTGTTGTCCTTACTGGACATGAGTATGTACCCATCATTACCCCATAGGTTGGACCATGAGTTCTTTATCAGCCAGTACTTCTGGCCTTTGAGTATGCCGAAACCAACGGCTAAGACCGCGTGATCGAGTTCTTCGACCTTGTTCTTGCTGTAACAAAAAAAATTGCTGTTATCTATACACCTATACATATAAATAAAATTGGAGTGTCTGTTTGTAATATTGAAATAACCGTTTTTTACTACATGCATATGAATATAAATACGGTACATATACCAAAATAACATTATTTACAATTTTTGTCTGTCTGTATGTTTGTTCCGGCTACAGATTGTAGAATAGTGTTTTCTCCATACACACAAGCTTCAGCTAGGCTACCGTAACCATTTACCATGAGATGGGCCAAATACTTGGTAGCAACCATCTTAGTCTAAAAAAAAATTCATGGCTAGGATTGTTTGTATCGGTCTGGGTGTTCTCTATATATAATATGTATGTATTTACGAAAAAAAAATCTATGTATTTGTATCAGTTGTCTAGTACCCATAACACAAGCTTCAGCTAGCTTAACTTGGGTCTAGATGGCGCTGTGTGAATTGTCCTAACATTATTATTATAAGGTACTTACCACGCTGGGTCGTAGTACACTCCATTCGAATAGAAGCTGAATGTCTTATGTGATGCATCGATTGCTACAGATACCGGTCCATGTTTGAAAATCGCCAACTATGACAAAATAAAATTATGTAATTTCTAATGAAGCGATGTTTTCATATACAGTAGCTAACAACAACAAATTTATATGAATCCTTAATCTATACATATAAATAAAATTGTAGTGTCTGTTTGTAATATTGAAATAACCGTTTTTTACTACATGCATATGAATATAAAAACGATAATACGATCAATTAAGTTTCTTGCCAGTTCTTCTCAATTGGATCTATATACCGAACTGGACGGTAGGGAAAAAAATTATAATGTAAAAACTTGACGTTCATAAGCGGCTAAAATGTCCTACATGAATAAATGATTTTTGAATTTTGAATTTTGATACTACATACACCAAAATAACATTTTTTTAAATTTTGGTCTGTCTGTTTGTTCCGGCTAATCTGAAATGGCTGGACCGATTTTAGGGGACTTTTATTGGCAGGTAACTGATGTAATAAGGAGTAACATAGGCTACTTTTATTTTAGAAAAATTCTCTGATTAACTTTTTTGTTAAAAACCACGCGGACGAAGTCGCGGGTACAGCTAGTGATATATATAAATACTGCAAAAATACTTACCCTGAGTGAGTTCTCACTATTGGTGGTAACGTTCACCCATCCCTTCATAGTGGTGACCAGCGTAACGTTGTCCACGTGGCAGTAGCCGTCCTGTAATATATCATATATAACAGTATAAAGCAAAAATTAATTTAAAAAAAAGTAGGGTAAAAGGAGGAAGTATTACAAACAGAAGTGTAAATGTTTGTCAACAAAATGTAATCATCATCATCATCATCATCATCAACAACAACATCATCACCACCATCATCATCATCATCATCATCATCAGCCTGTGTGTATCCACTGTTGGATATAGACCTTTCCCAAAGACTTCCACCATGTGCGCTCTTCCGCCTTCCGCATCCATCCACTCCTGGCCACCTTCGTAACGTCGTCGGTCCATCTTGCAGGAGGGTGCCCGACACTTCCTCGACCCATACGCGGTCTCCACTCCATAACCTTTCATCCCCATCTATCATCGCTGACTCTGCTGATATGCCTGGCACATTGCCACTTCAGCTGATATACTTTGAGAGCTATGTCGTCCACTTTGGTTCTCCGTCGAATTTCAGCGTTTCGGATCATGTCCCTTAGAGAAACTCCGAGCATAGCTCTCCATCGCTCGCTGTGCGACTTTTAATTTATGAAGTAGGCCTACGGTTAGTGTCCATGTTTCTGCACCCAACGGCGGATCCAGAGGGAGGTCATGGGGGTCATGGGGGGGGTCATAGACCCCCTCTGAGCCCAGGACTTACGTGGACCACTAATTGAACATAATGATTTTACTTATATATTTTGTCACCCTACAGATTTAATTAATATTTTTAAGTACAGTTCTTACGGACGTTAATAATATACCTACTTTTTACTTGTATCTATTGTTATCAAAATTAAATTATAAGTTCTGACGACCTCGGTGGTCTAGCGGTCTAGCACACCGCTTTACAACCGATGATCGCGGGTTTGATTCCTCGCACAGCACAAACGTTTGTATTCATGAGTATGATTGTTTGTATCGGTCTGGGTGTTTTCTATATATAATATGTATGTATTTACAAAAAAAATTCTATGTATTTGTTTCAGTTGTCTAGTACCCATAACACAAGCTTTAGTTAGCTTAACTTGGGTCTAGATGGCGCTGTGTGAATTATCCTGAGATTATTAAGTTCTTGACTTCACCACAACAGTGACCACCTCTTGGCGCCAAAGCTGGATCCGCCCTATCTGCACCGTAATTCACAACAAAATGTGCATAGTAATAATTGTGAGAAGGGGTGCAGAATAATAACACTTTTTTTTTAATTATGCATAAAAATCCATAAACAAACATACTTCACACTACCATATATTTGACACACAAACTCATATACTCTAATTTATTATTAACTAGTTACTTGCACCAACTTCGCATGGGTGTACATGTATTATACATATAAACCTTCCTCTAGAATCACTCTATTTATTAAAAGAAACCGCTTCAACATCCATTGCGTAGTTTTAAAGATTTAAGCGTACATAGGGACGGACAGACAGCGACCGCGACTTTGTTTATTTATTTATTCATAACAATAATTATTGTGTCGAATTTCAAAGTACAAAATTAAATTTAAATCTAAAATATTGTATTTTACTATGTAATGAAGTCTATGACCAAATTGAGAATCGATTAATATTGTTTATCTTTATTTGTTGTCTATGGTCTTAGTGAATTAATTATGGCGAACATTAGTTGAGGTAAATACGCTTAAACACAAATAGGATTTGTTCAACAAAATTGTAATAAATACGGGTAGAAGTTGAGAAAACCAATATGCTGATACCAAATAAGAATCATCAAAAATATTTAGGCGTTACCGTTTTGGCAATACATAAACAAGCTTATAAATATTATACATAGACACCTATATTAGCAATTAATTTAAACAAACTGGCTTATAAAAAAACCTGTAAGTTGACTGATTATTCTGTACCCTACAACCAAAACAGCTTACAAAGCAAGCTGCTTGGCTAGAATGCCGCTAATATTACCATACACTGAGGTACACACGCAGACTTTATACTAAGTGTACTTTGGTAAAAGATAACGTCACCTGTCCCAAGTAACCACCGTAGTCCTCTTCTGTGGGTAAACCGTGCTTCATGATCCACTGATACGCTCTAAAATCTTCACCCCCATCGCAGCCGTTGTTGCCAAAACTAAAAATAAACAATAATAATAAAAACCTTGGACAATTCACTCAACGCCATATAGTCACAAGCTATTACCCGCCATTGTATAAGATCAATGCGCCTTCTAAAGCGCCCACCAGAGCAAGTGTGTTTAAAATAAATTATCAGCTTACCCCCAGGGACAGTCTATCAGGGCCTGTACTGAGGGTCATCAGGTGTCCGCCGTTGTGCAGGAACAGTGCGCCTCTACAGCGCCCACCAGAGCAAGTGTGTTTAAAATAAATGATCGTAACAACTTACCTTCAGGAACAGTCTATCAGGGCCTGTACTGAGGGTCATCAGGTATCCGCCGTTGTGCAGGAACAGCTTCAACAGCTCCCACCAGAGTAAGTGTGTTAAAAATAAATTATCATAACAACTTACCCCCAGGAACAATCTATCAGGGCCTGTTAACTGAGCCTCACCAGGTTCCCGCCGTCATGCAGGAACAGTGCGCCTCTACAGCGCCCACCAGAGCAAGTGTGTTAAAAATAAATTATCATAACAACTTACCCCCAGGAACAATCTATCAGGGCCTGTTAACTGAGCCTCACCAGGTTCCCGCCGTCATACAGGAGCAGTGCGCCTCTAGAGCGCCCGCCAGAGCAAGTGTGTTAAAAATAAATTTTCATAACAACTTACTTCCAAGAACAGTCTATCAGGCCTGTTGACTGAGGCTCATCAGATGACTGCCGTTGTGTGGGAACAGTGCGCCTTCAACTGCTCGCATCCGAACAAGCGTGTTAAAAATAAATTATCGTAACAACTTACCCCCAGGAACAGTCTATCAGGGCCTGTTGACTGAGCCTCACCAGGTGCCCGCCGTTGTGTAAGAACAGCGCGCCTTCAACAGCTCCCACCGTTCCGAACGACCAGCAGGAACCGCACACGGACTGATCTGCATCATACCACATTCTTACGACCTCACCCATTGGGAGGGATAGGCAGATACTATTATCTACTACTTGTTAACTGACTAAATATTAGGAAATCTACTAAGAATTTGACTTTAATTTTTATTTGTATTATGGGTATGTTATATGGGTTTTGTTGTGTATGGACAACTGATATAAACACATATATATATTATAAATACATATATAAAACACTCAGACCGATACAAACAAACATACACATGCACCATTCCATTATCATCCATAAAAAAATACATAAACATATATATTTTCGTAAATGCATACAAATTATATATAGAAAACACCCAGACCGATACAAACAATCATACTCATGAATACAAATGTTCGTACTGTGCAGGTATCGAACCCGCGTCCATCGAAGTAAACCGCCGTCATAGTGCTTACCTTTCACAGGTGTGACAGCACCAAACAGCCTCCAGTCAAACTCGGAAGGTACCTTGTCACTCATGTCCTCGACAGCAGCTGGAGTGTACGGGAACGGGAGACCTGGCAATATTTTTTTATTTATTTATTTTACTTACTTTATTTACTTATTTACTTTATTTACTTTATTTACTTTATATACTTTATTTGCTTTATTATTTTATTAATTTATTTTAAATGAATCTGTATTACTGTAATAATGTACAAGCTAATTTTAAAAGAATAAGAGCTGAGTTTCTTATCAGTTCTTCTCAGCCCCAAAGCAGATCTGAGTGATCTGACAGTAGATTTAATACATCATAAAACTCTGTAATAGACCTACATGAATAAAGTTGAGTTAGGTCTAAAATATAAAATTCTCGTGTCACAATGTTAGTTACCATACTCCTCGGAAACACCTTGGCTGATTTTTAAGAAATTTTATTTGCATATTCAGTAGGTCTGATAATTGGTTACTATCTATTTTTCATAATCCTAAGTGATATGGGTTGTCCACCCTAACATATATTTTTTATTTTTTGGAAAAAAAATTTTTTTTTTTATTAAATAATAAAAAATACATGCAACCCCAATTTCATCCATCATCAAGCTCTATTTTTTAATAGCGATTTTAACTTATATGGCAAAACAACGTTTGCGGGATCAGCTAGTCATCATTACATAGTATAAAACAAAGTCGCAGTCGCTGTCTGTCCCTATGTATCCTTAAATCTTTAAAACTACGCAACGGATTTTGAAACGATTTTTTTTATATATATAGTGATTCAAGAGGATGGTTTATACATATAATATATGTACACCCGTGCGAAGCCGGGGCGAATAGCTAGTTATAAATGAAAGTAGTACCATGGTTGGGTCCACTGTAGCGGCGGCCCCTCAGCGCGGCCAGTTCATCATCAGATCGATCGGCGAGGTGATTCACTGCCAGCGTGAAGCCGAGACGAGCGCGGTTGCTCGAGTGGACAAATCTGTAATTACAGAATACAATATTATACTTGGGTTTTTCATTTGAACAATATGATGCCTACGGCCACATTTTACCATCGCACCGCTCGCCAGCGACAGGGAATTCATTCCCACACGCTGGAACCTAAGTGGTCTCGAACAGTGCAGTTTCAGAGGAGCTTCCTCCCGCGTACACTTAGATTGTGGAATGAACTACCTGCCGAGGTTTTCTCACGAGACTACAGCATGGGGTTTTTCAAGAAGGGTATTATATTAAGATTTCTTAAGGGTCGGCAACGCGCACGTGACACCCCTGGTGTTTAGTCGCCCTTAAGCGTTTACCATCAGATGGGCCGTATGCTTATTTGCCACCTACATGGCATAAAAAATATTAGAATATATAGAAAAACCCCATGCTGTAGTCTCGTGAGAAAACCTCGGCATGTACTTCATTCCACAACCTAAGTGTACGCGGGAGGAAGCTCCGTAATATAAATGTTTGTGCCGTGCGATCGAACCCGCGACCATCGGAAGTAAGGCGATGTGCTAAACCACTAGACCACCGAGGAAATGTATTAAGTTTATTTGAATATAGATTTCTATTACGTACCTGAGATTCTGTCTGAAGTTATTTAGACGCGTCATATGTTCTGTATGACTGTCATATTCTCTGTCGTGTTTTGTCTTGAATCTGAAATAATAGAAATAAACTTCTCTTATATAGTTTTACTAACAGACCCGGCCACGCGTTGTTCTAAGGTTCTTGTATAAGATAATATTGCGACTATAAATTGAGATGTAAGCTATCCTATCTTTCAAGTTGGATCAAATTGCACACAATGTGCAAATCAAATTTGCAATCGGTTCTGTAGTTTAGGAGTCCATCGTGGACAAACAACGTGACACGTAATTTTTATATATAAAGATTATTATATCTTAATTCTTACTAATATTATAAATACGACAGTAATTCTGTATGTCTCGCTTTCACGCCAAAACTACGGAACCGATTTAAATTATATTTGGTACACAGATAGTCTAGAACCTGAGAAAGGACATAGGTTACATTTTAATACAAAAAAAGGGTTGTAAGGGGTTGAATCCCTTTCAACCCCTTGAGATGAAAGATTATATGGAAATATCAACAATTTACGCGGACGAAGTCGCGAGCACATCTAGTAATATTATAACCGCGAAAGTTTGTAAGAATGGTTCGATGTTCGTTACTCTTTCACGCAAAAACTACTGAACGGATCTTTATGAAACTTTAACGTAATATAGCTTATATATCAGAATAACGTATAGGCTACACATTTCATGCGGATGAAACCGTGGGCTCAGCTACTAGTATATAAATAGAAAATACCCATACCAATACAAGCAATCATATTCACGAAATAACTAATATTTACATAGTGAGAGGAATCGAACTCACAACCATCGGAAGTAAGACGATGTGCTAAACCAGTGCACCATCGCGATGTCTAACAAACACCCTCTCAAATTCATAAATATTTACATAGTGTGAGGAATCGAACCTGCGACCATCGGAAGTGTGCTAAACCGCTAAACCACCGCGGTCTCTAATAATTACCTCTCAAATTCATCATCAACATGAACATCGTGTACGGGATGAACGAACTCCTTCATGGGGTTGAATGTTGCGTAGTGCCGAGACCCGGGGCCCGGGAACGAGGTGCACTGGTACCCTGTAAAAAAAACAATTGAATTTTACACTGTACTGATTAAAAAAAAACTAATTATTTTTTTTATACCACGTCGGTGGCATATAATCTTAAAAAAAAAAACTCAACCAGTTTTTACTTTAATTCTTGGCATCTACGTTATCACGAATTAAAGAGCATGATGGAAGATCGCGGAAACTGGCAAGAGCTCCACCGACAAGAGCGTAGCTCTTAAATTATGCGGTTTTTGTATTGATTGCCGCATGCATTCTTATGTGCACTGGTAACCTGCAAAAAACCAATTGAATTTTACACTGTGCTGATTAAAAAAAAACTAATTGTTTTTTTTATACCACGTCGGTGGCAAATAATCTTAAAAAAAAACTCAACCAGTTTTTTTTATATCACGTAGATGCTAAGAATTAAAGAGCATGATGGAAGATCGCGGAAAGTGGCAAGAGCTCCACCGACAAGAGCGTAGCTCTTAAATTATGCGGTTTTTGTATTGATTGCCGCATGCATTCTTATGTGAAATGTGAATACTATAACCATAAGATGGCAATTGTGCCCCGCCAGCCAGTTAGCGCAGGCGGGTGCACCATTCCATTATCAGCTATGACGTGGTCTGGTGTTTTGAGTAGTCATGCTCACTAAAATGTCCAGACTTGTGGCGGCGTGGTGGGCCGGGTCATTGGGCTCCCTAAAATATGGTCGAGCGCAATGGTGGCTGGCTCATCCGTCATACTCGTGAACGGGTGCTGCTTGTGTGGACTGGTCTGCTCTAATCACTATGACTTATTTTCTCTCATTAATTGTTTAACCAGTTGTTGTATATTGAATGTTTTTTCTATTTTATTATTTCATTGAATTAGTGCTAATCGGTGGTTTGTATTCACACACTTAAACTTAAATTGTAAGTAAGAATAAATTATTTAAAAGAGCAACACACAAGTTTCTTGCTTGTTCTTCTTGTGATGAGACAGCATTCCGAATGAGCGGTAGATTAAAAAAAAATGTTATGACTATTCAAAAGTGCTTCAATGTAAGTTTATTTGAATAAATGATTTTCTATTCTATTCTAGGAATGAATGAATGAAAGATGCCAAATAATCTTGGTAACTGATAATAAAACCAAACTTGATTGAACATTATCGTCGCTAAAACTGGTTAGTCGTTATAAGCGAAGTCGTTATAAAAGAATTCTACTTAGGGATTGCTTTTTTCAAAATGCGGGTTTCTTACGTGAATTGTTATTGAAAAAATTAAAAAAAAAACTCATTGGCTTTTATTATTTATTATTGGCGACTACTATTGTAAAAAGAAAAAAAAAATGCCTTGTGCTTTTATTTACGATTAGTTAATACTAGTAATCAATATTGCTGAGTTATGACTGTAATAAGCACGTACAATCTGGATTAAATGGACCATAATAGTTTTTTTTTGTTTCAATAAAAAAAAATTGCGTGATATTTACCGAGACCTCTCTCCAACGTAAGTTTAGATGAGATTTGACTCGACCCCCTCTCCCCTTCAACATCTCACGTAAGTTACGGACGCCCTCGATAAGACTGCCGTTTATTAATTATTATTATACGTGACGACCTGGTCTAGCGGTTTAGCACACCGCCTTACTTCATATGGTCGCGGGTTCGATTCCTCTCACGGCACAAACATTTGTATTCATGAGTATGATTGTTTTTATCGGTCTGGGTATTTTCTATGTATAATATGTATGTATTTACGAAAAAAACAATATAATATCTATGTATTTGTATCAGTTGTCTAGCGCCCATAACAAAAGCTGGACCGGTATCTGTAGCAATCGATGCATCACATAAGACATTCAGCTTCTATTCGAATGGAGTGTACTACGACCCAGCGTGGTAAGTACCTTATAATAATAATGTTAGGACAATTCACACAGCGCCATCTAGACCCAAGTTAAGGTAGCTGAAGCTTATGTTATGGGTACTAGACTAAGTACCTTATAATAATAATCTCAGGACAATTCACACAGCGCCATCTAGACACAAGTTACGCTAGCTGAAGCTTGTGTTATGGGTACTAGACTAAGTACCTTATAATAATAATCTCAGGACAATTCACACAGTGCCATCTAGACACAAGTTACGCTAGCTGAAGCTTATGTTATGGGTACTAGACTAAGTACCTTATAATAATAATCTCAGGACAATTCACACAGCGCCATCTAGACCCAAGTTAAGGTAACTGAAGCTTGTGTTATGGGTACTAGACTAAGTACCTTATAATAATAATCTCACGACAATTCACACATTTTAATTATTTATTTATTATAAAAAACTTACCGGATCCCACATCGAACACCGTCGGATCAATATCCTCGACATCGTACTCCGTGTATGTGATGTAGTAGTGATCATAATGAGAGCCAAGCAGAGAGTTGAAGCCCTTCATCTCGTACCTGTGGGACAAAAATGTAATTACTAGCTTTTGCCCGCGGCTTCGCTCGTGTAAGTATTATTATTAATTAGGTGTAGTTTTTGCGGATTTACTTTTGTTTGGCGTGTGTAAAAAATTAGGGCCTATTTATACAAACTTTCATCCCCTATTTTATCCTCTTAGGGGTGAAATTTATCAAAATCCTTTCTTAGGGGATGCCTACGTTATAGTAGGAAGAGGATAAAATGGGGGATGAAAGTTTGTAACGTTCATCAAAATACAAAATCTTAGAAGATTTATACAAACTTTCATCCCCTATTTTATCCTATTAGGGGTGAAATTTATCAAAATCATTTCTTAGGGGATACCTAGGTTATAGTAGGAAGAGGATAAAATGGGGGATGAAAGTTTGTAACTTTCATCCCCTATTTTATCCTTAGGGGTGAAATTTATCAAAATCAGGGGTGAAATTGGGCTGTACGTTTATAGATAACTATGTCAGTCACCTTTGAGTTATATATATTTAGATATTTGAGTGTGAACGTGAGCTTGAAAGTGCGTGGGCGTGTATACGTGAGTAGTGAGTACGTATGCATGCGTACACACGTGTGTGTGCGTGTGTGTGTGTGCGTGGGTGTGTAAATACATGAGTGTATATGCAGCGCACAGCGCATGCGTGAGTGTTATACATGAATTAGAAGAATTAGAATTTTTTTTTATTAACTCGTTTTTACAGTAATAACATAAGAAATACAAGAATAATTTACACATTGCGCCACAACTGTTTGATGAAAACGGACGCGCAAATATTACAATTAAAAAATACGTATACATTAACTTAATAAATCAGTGTGTATATAAATAAAGTAAAATTATATATTAATAATCTTAAAGAATAATCCTAAAACATTATATACGTAATGAATAAAAGAAAAAATAAACAATTACAAAGAAATAAAATTAAAAAAAATATATATATACCCACAGTGATGCGTACGGTGCATTTTACATATTCTAATGACGGTATCGCAGTATTAAAATAAAAATATCCATAACACTTGCTCTCTGGTACCAGCAAGTAGAGGAGTATGTGCGTGCGTGTTTGATAAAAAAACGTGAGTGTGTGTTCAAGTGCGTGTGCGTCTGTGTTCCATGTTTACACAAGTTGCGTGTGTTCAAATCCTGGGCTCAGAGGGGGGTCATGACCCCCATGACCCCCTGGATCCGCCGCTGGTTTACATACCTAACAGGTATAGCGACCGGGTCACCACGGAGCGCCTTCTTGTACTTCACCCACATGGTGTACTTGTTGATCTTGTCGCCAATAGTCTTCACCATCCGCCATTTGAACGTCTCCGAATCCTCCATCACATCTGTACCTGTTGTATATATAATAAAACTAGCTGTTACTAGCGACTTCACCCGCGTGGAATTACAATTTTTTTTCATAATCTAATATATAAAATTCTCGTGTCACAGGTTTTGTATTTATACTCCTCCGAAACGGCTTGACCGATTTTGATGAAATTTTATATGTATATTCAGTAGATCTGAGAATAGGGTTATAACTAATTTTTATACCCCTAAGTGTTAAAGGTGGCTCAAAACAAATTTTTTTTTTTCATGTTCGACAATTTTTTTTTTTTCGCAAATAGGCATAGTTCAAACATTGCGTTGCTTACCAACATAGCTAAAGTCTGTCATATCCGGTAGGACAGTTTGTACGGAAATCGCCTCATCCTTAGTACCGTTTACTTGCAGACATGTGTCCTTGTTTAACTCCTTCTCAGTAGTTACCGGCGCTATCTGTAAAGATATACACATACATAAATATATTACAAATACAAATAAAGCAACCAGACCCAGTATAAAAATTCAAAATTCAAAATATCTTTATTCATGTAGGTCTATTACAGACTCTTATGATATGTCAAATCTACCGTCAGTTTGATTTTGAGATCAGAACTGACAAGAAAATCAGCTCGTATTTTTTTTTAAATAGATGTACATATTTACAATAATACAGATTAATTTAAATTAAATTTTTTACATGAGTATGATTGTTTGACAGTCAAAAAATATATATCTATGTATATATATTTACATAACAAATATAAATATCTGTGTGACTGAATAATATAACTACAGCATAAATTTAAATTATGTTTTAGTACATTGCTGGACTACATTTCATCATAAATATTACTGAAATCGTGGGCATTAACTAGTTCTAAATGTAGCATTATATAGACAGACATAGGGGAAGCCCTAATATAAGGGTTGGGAAAGAGATTGCTAGTAATGTGGATGGTGACTTCCATTGCTAACAATGTATGGTATATTGTGAGGTTAACCTTCACGCGGTTGTCCTAGAAACCATCGTGATAAATTCTCGGTGATTTTGTCATGATGGGCTATGACCTGACCTCATCTGATCATCCTCCACTGGGGCCCCACCAGTACTACACCGATAGCGCAGGCGTAACTGTTGGTAACCCTTCCAATTACAAATAACGAATTAATCATATCCATAACATTTCAATAGAGTTAAAATAATATTTTTCGTCGTCCAATGAGTCTTTAAGTAAATATTTGACATAATTGTGTTAGGTATGTTGGAATGAGTAAGTCATGATCAGCCATTGTGTTGTTACAGCTTAATCGACTATGAGTAATTGGTATTGATATTATCGCTTAATACTGTGACATCACTTTACTACATAGTATAAAATAAAGTCGCTGTCGGTCTGTCCGTCCCTATGTATTCTTAAATCTTTAAAACTTCGCAACGGATATTAAAGCGATTTTTTTAAGGCGACACATCATAAATATTGACCTCAGATACCTTAACTTTTCTCAGCAATTACAAATCATTCGGGGCTGATATTTAGGTATTTCATTTTTCAGATCTTTGACATCATATTGACAGTTCTCGTTACATGATTGATTAACTTTTGTAGCAGAGAAAAAAATCTCAAAGATTGGTCTTATAAAATATATTTTTGATTTGTATAAGAAAACGGGATTGATTTAAGACTCGAATTTTCCAATATACATTACACTAAATACACACATAAATAGTATAATTCAGATGTATATAATAACTAATAGTTTTTATTTTAAATAAGATAAACTGTTTCCGCAAAAAGTTTCTTGCTCACAAGTTGTTTTGTATGAGAGTTAGACCAAGTCAGTCAGTCCCCGGCCCCTGCCAACGTTGGACCTGTGCTTAGCGCGGATATCCCGCCTGAGATTAAAGAGGAAGGTTTATATGTATAATACATACATAATATTGTAGAGTAACATTGATAAATTTAGAGGTCTCTAATCTGATGTCGTAAATAAATAGATTTTTTGCGCTTACATTGCAAACTGGCTGAACCCCACAAGATGTATCAAAATAATGTACTACAGTATTGTAAATCTTAAAAAGATCAACAAAAAAAGTCTACGATGATATATGTCAATCTCTTAAGGATAACCCACAATAATTTTTTTTTTATCCTTTACATTTTACGGGAAAAAATGGCTTATTTACGAATTGATGTGCACCAGTGGAGGATGTCAAAATGAGCATGAAGCCAGGTCAGTTAGCCTATCTTGGCAAATGGCAGTTTACTACGATGGTTTCCAGGTCGTCGACTGAATGCCGCGGCTCACCCAACGAAAAATGATTCTTCAACTACCGACCTCCGTATTTATAGACCGAAGTCAGTGTAAGGAAGAGAAGGTAATGGATATCTATACAAACAACTCAGTTCGGTCTATAAATACTAGATGGCGTTATTTACAATATTTGTAATAATCTTTAAATTGGGTACTTCATTAGTACTAAACACAAACTACCTTCTTTTAATTTCTTTTTAAAATATCGGATTTTTCTACAATATTGATGTGAACTCTAACTATAACTCATCGGCGACCTCGGTGGTCTAGCGGTCTAGCACACCGCTTTACGACCGATGGTCGCGGGTTCGATTCCTCGCACGGCACAAACATTTGTATTCATGAGTATGATTGTTTGTATCGGTCTGGATGTTTTCTATGTATATTATGTATGTATTTACATAAAAAAATCTATGTATTTGTATCAATTGTCTAGTACCCATAACACAAGCTTTAGCTGGCTTAACTTGTGTCTAGATGGCGCTGTGTGAATTGTCCTGAGATTATTATTATATGAGACTCCTACCACTAAGAACTCCTCGTCCAACCCCATATGCCGTAGTCGCGGGTTCAAACCTACCTTAATAGATGTGCCGTAACTTGGGTAGGCTGCTGTTGAGAGCTGGTAAGTCTTCACCATTCCGCCGTAGTAGTCGATACGGGACTTGCCATTCTTGCTGTCAAACCTGTAAAAGAACCTCAATGTAGACTTTATTTATTTATTTATTTACTAGCTACCTCTTAACAACATTTTTTAACAACCACAACACGATCAGCTCATTTGGTACAAGATTCCACTGAAAATCAGCATTTGGGCATTACAGCCCAGACAAATCTGAGTGAAAACCAATTTGGTCGCAGCTGTATTTTTAAAATAATAATAATAATAATATTTCCGGACAATTCACACAGCGCCATCTAGTCCCAAGCTAAGCAGAGCTTGTGTTATGGGTACTAGACAACTGATATAAATACATGGATACATTTTTTTTTGTAAATAAATACATCTTATACATAGAAAACACCCAGATAGATATAAACAATCATACTCATACTCATGAATACAAATGTTTGTACCGTGCGAGGAATCGAACCCACGACCATCGGATAATAAAGCGGTGTGCTAAACCACTAGACCACCGAGACTGTCAATTAAATATAATTTTTATAATACGTTTTATTATTGTTTTGTATGCGGCAAATATATATATTTTTCTTTCTTTCTGATTTCGCTACATAAAAAAACCATGAGAATTGGACCACTCTACATAGATGTATTATTTTTTTTAATGCTAAAATCTAATCCAAATAGGTAAGGGCAGTGTAGAAATTGGTGATAATATTTTAAGGAAGGTGTTACATATGAATGTGGATGGTTATAAGGGCAGAGGAAGGCCGAAAAAGAGATGGATGGACTGTGTAAAAGGTGATGGGGTAAGAAAAGGAGAAAGTTACAAGATGACTGCGAACAGCGATAAATGGAAGAGAACAACATATCACGACGACCACAAATAAATGGGATAAGGAAAAAGCAGATGATGTTTATATTGATCTGTATGTTCGATCAGATTCGAAATCACGTCCTTGCGTCGTAACTCAAACACATTAACCACTAAGCCACAAAGATCTCAATTGTAATATTGTACAGTGTATTAATATTATTACAGATTGCGTTGTCTAGATAAGTCAAAGTGCTATCCAAGTATATTTGCTCCATAATATAGATCAGGGCTGTCCAAACTAGATAAAATCTAGGGCCAATAAAGATAAAACCATTGAGGGGCCGCAAAATATTTGTAAAAAATAAATAAATAAGCCCACAATACATAAATAAATAATTAACACAGCGCCGTCATATAAATAAATCATATTATTATTATTTTTTTTTTCCAAATATTCTCATCTCCCCTCTTAAGGAGAGGAGATGGCAACATACCCCCGGCAGAAGCACAGTCGACCGGGGTTGGGCCCCAGGGAGAGAAACCGGCGTACAATGCGGGCAGAATCTAACAGCACCGCTTTCTGCATCTTTCCCGGGAGTGAGCCGCCTCGGAATCCCAACCGTCTGAGATGTTGCTCCAGACTGGTTGGGATAAGACCGTTCACCGATATAACGATTTGAATGATTTCGGTGGACATCACCCCCCACATTTCGGTCACCTCGTGAGCCAGGTCGAGATATTTTCTCTTTTTCTCAGTTTCGGCTTTATTATTATTATTATTATTATTATTATATACCGTAGGGGTAAGCAGAGCTTGTGTTATGGGTACTGTACCTACTAGACAACTGATATAAATACTTTTTTTTAACATACATAATATACATAGAAAACACTCAGACCGATACTCTTGAATACAAATGTTTGCACACTATGAGGAATCGAACCCGCGACCATCGGAAGTTAAGCGGTGTGTAAAACCGCTAGACCACCGGGGCCGTGGTCCTAATGCGGATATAATATCATTATTTTATTATTGAATTACCTTTTTATTAACTTATCTTTTAGAAATAAAAATGTTTTTATTAATTTATCTTTTACAATTCTGTCAACATCAACCTCAATATTGGTAGTAACTAGACGCAGTGCACGCTTTCAATATAGAGCAGAAAAGAAAATAATTTGTTCATCCAAACATTTGGGATTATAATATACATATTATATACAAGCTGATCCGCTCAACTTCGTCTGCGTTTCATTTCCCCACATTTTTCCCGAGCATCTCCGCTCCTATTGGTCATAGCGTAATGTCATACAGCTTAAAGTCTATAGACAAATAGACTATCCAACACAATTCAAAAATCATTTTTCAATTCAAAACAGTAGTTCCTGAGATTAGCGCGTTTAAACAAACAAACAAACAAACTCTTCAGTTTTATAATATTAATATAGATATATAATTGTGTCTACACAAAAATAAAGAAAAAGAAAATATTTGCGGGCCGCATCAAAGTCGCGAGCCGCACGTAGCCCGCGGGCCATGGTTTGGACAGCTCTGGTGCAGATAATTATTTTTACACAGAGATTGTTTGTGTTTTGATCGTACGAACTACACCAAAGGTCAACGAGTTGCCTGATAAGTTGTGACTATTTAAGTTTATTAACATTGTCTGTAAATAATATAGATAACAGAAATTGTCTGATTAATTTTCTACATTTCTCAATATATTATTTACAAGAGATATTCGATTTACGACGATTTTGACCCTACACTGGTTCTTGTAACTTAGCAGCAAAATTAACTCATCATCTGCTTCTTTCTTATCCAATTTATTTAGTGTCAATTTTAAACGTTCCATTTTACTGTTTATTATTATTTATTATTTAAAAGAGCAACTGTGTGTTGCTCTTTTAAATAATTCTTAGTTTCTTGCTCGTTCTTCTTGTGATATAACAGGTTTCCAGATGCGCGGTAGATTTAAAAAAAATGTGATGACTATTCAAAAGTGCTTCAATGTGAGGTTATTTGAATAAATGATTTTCTATTCTATTCTATACTGAAATCTATATTATCAAGGCGTAAAAATATTTTAGGCGTAATATATTTTCAGATTCTTTCTTAACAATTATTTTTGATGGACAATTCACACAACGCGATCTAGTCCCAATGTAAGCAGAGCTTGTGTTATGTGTACTAGACAACCGATATAAACACTTAATTGTTTTGTAAATACATACAAAATGTATATAGAAAACACCCAGAACGACACATACATCATACTCATTAATACAAATGTTTGTACTGTGCGAGGAATCGAACCGGCGACTAGTGGAAATAAAGCGTGTTAACCGCTAGACAACCGAGGCTGTCAATAATACCATAGCCGTAGATAAAACCTTATACATTCCAATTGAAATGTTTATTAAATAACTAACTACTCGCCCCGACTTCGCACGGGTGTACATACATCTTATATATAAAATTCTCGTGTCACAGTTTTCGTTCCCATACTCCTCCGAAACGGCTTGATGATGAGAATCGGCTCATGAAATTTTGTGAGCGTATTGAGTAGGTCTGAGAATCGGCCAACATCTATTTTTCATCCACCTAAATGTTAGGGATAGTCCAACCCTAATATTTTTTTTTATTTTTTAGACAAAATTTTAGTTTCTATTTTTTTTAATGATACAACATACAAAAATATATACAATCCTAAATTTTCACCCTTCTATCATCAACCCCTATTTTTTTATAGCGTTATTAATTTATATGGCAAAATAACGTTTGCCGGGACAGCTAGTTATATATATAAAACTTCCTCTTGAATCACTCTATCTACTAAAAAAACTGTAGTTTTAAAGATTTAAGCATACATAGGGACGGACAGACAGCGACAGCGACTTTGTTTTATAGTATGTAATGATAAGCATAAAACTTTTTAATTTGAGTAAAAGACCTTCAGACATTGTCAATGATTTAGCGATTACTACATAGTCCTACCTTTATGGATATCTCAGTATAGTAAAAAAAACTATATGATTAAAAAAAAAACATGTAAAAAAACAGTAGGTGATGATTATTAGTAATTATTGCATGTAAAATTATGAGCAATTCTAAAAATAATTGCATTCTGAATCTGGGTCATGATATCATGAACAAACCTAATAGTAATTGAAAATTGCATATTAAAAATAACTATGTATATTTTTCTAGTTATTATATAGAATATATATAAATTTTTTTTTTTCGGACTACTAACTAATGCTGTTGGCCGTAGCTGGCCTTTACAGCTTCACCGGACGTTAGGGGCGAGTGCAAATGGCACTCCAAACCCGCGGAAGGACTTATGGAGCGGCTGAAGGCCAACTCCTGCCTGACGGATACGACTTTAGTCTGAGGGCACCACTAGGGGTTCTAACCTTGGCTCAGGCCGTCGTAATTTCGATCCCCGTTTGAATTGGACAGGGGATCGATCAGAGGGGGCTAGTAATACTATACATTTCTATAGGCAAGGATATTTAGTATAATATCTTTGTTAGTGGAGTTGTGTTCCCACAACTACTATTTTAATAAAAACCAAATACTAGTAAAAATGTGTATTCTTCCCAAAAGGGCTCACAGCGAGAAGTAACAAAACAATATATAATTAGTCAAAAGTGACGTATAAAAAATAGATATAAAAAATAAAAATATAAAGTTTATAAAAAGAATGGTGTCTACCTATTTTTTATATCTATTTTTTATACGTCACTTTTGACTAATTATATATTCAAAATCTTTTAATAGTATTAATACAAAATAATATGCATTACAGTGTTATAGTTGTACAATACAAGTAAACAGACCAATATCCCCATTAGTAATAATGTATCTATAGACAATATACAGACAAAGCATAGCTATGTACCACAGATAAGATAATATAACATACAATGTATGAGAATTAGTCGCAAGATTTGTTGAGGGCTCTTTAAATTGTAGTCAAAACATTCTACTCACTCTACTCATACCTAGACTATAAAAGTATTTTTTTTTCCATAACACCTTTTCGGGAAACCAGTAAGCTCGTCATATTCCTTTTTAAAGAAAAAGGAGGGAAACAACTTTTTTTTTTTTATGCGAACTGATAAGGTACAGGAAACTAGTAAACATAAATCGAATAGATCGTAAGATATGAATATTTTACGCAGAGTAATAAATAAAAATAGCGGCAAAATTCTAGAATACAGAATGTTAATATTAAATCTATAATTATACTCACCAGGCATAGAAAGGCTCACGAAGCTCAGCATAGGGTATGAATAGCAATCCTTTGACTGTGTACACTGGATTCCATTCTGGAATGGGCTCTAAAATTGTAATAATAAAAGAACATTATAATAAAGATATTTATAAGGCATTTCACCATGCTTTGAATTTAAATTTGAACAACCATATTATGTTACCTTTAAATAAATCTGTTAAATCATATTTATAGAGCAAAGCCTATTACACACTAAACAATTACTTGAACGACAAATGTGCATGACAAAAGTAGTTCATGTTTGGGATTTTCACTTAATGTTAGACATAGACACCTACTTAAGTACATAACATAAATAAAATGGCTTTTAAAAAAATCATTGAGTTTCTTGCCAGTTATTCTGAATTCTATCTGTATACTGAACTGGATGGTAGGGACAAAATATTAATGTAAAAAATATATGTTCTTAAGCTGCTAAAACGTCCTACATGAAAAAAAATATTTTTTATTTGGTGCCACAATGCTAATTTTCAGTGGGTAATAATTGTAAATACAATGGTAAATTTACGCTGTACCCTAAAAGCAATTTAATAAATACATCCCTCATAGTTGGTAATTTTTTGATTTTGTTTATTATTTTTAAGAGTTATTATGATTAGTTTGTAATATGTATGCTTATTTTCCACCATCATAGTAAAAAAAATATGGGGTTGATATGTTTAAAAACAAAAACCCCAAAATAAATATAGATAAAACCTTTTTTTTTATCTACACCCTTTTATATTAGTTTATAAACCGAATTATGTGGGTAGGTATATAGACATTCTCACCAACTTTCTACAAAGACAGGTCTCTCACTTATTTTAGTCACCACATTGTTTTTAAGATATGTTTTGGTTTAAGCTGGTAGGGCACCAGTGGAGGATGATAAAATGAGCATGAAATCATGTCAGTTAGCCCATGATAAACGGCAATTTACCACAATATTTTCCAAGGGGACTGGCATGGAGGTCAATCTGACGTGTTACATTGCTAGCGATGGGGTATTAGACCACATTCCTAACAACCGTCTTCCCCTATCTGCTAATATTGACAATTTACCATGGGAGCCATGTGGAGGTCAATCTGACAATGGTATGTATATTACTAGCTATGTGATTATTATCCCATTTATTTGTGGTCGGCATAATGTTTTTCTCTTCCATTCATCCCTGTTCGCAGTCATCTCGTTATTTACTTCCTTTCTTACCATATCATCTTTCACACAGTCCATCCATCTCTTTTTCTGCCTTCCTCTGCCCTTATAACCATCCACATTTATATGTAACAATAATACCCTATCCCCTGCTGCATTTTAATTTAATATGTGACACATAACAGTAAAAAAAGGAAAAAAATCTTTATTTAAATAAACTTAATTTAAGCACTTTTGAATAACAGTTATCCTTCTTATAATCTACCGCTCATTCGGAAAGCTGTCCCATCATAAGAAGAACGGACACGAAACTTGCGTGTTGCTCTTTTAAATAATCGTTGTACCTACATTTTTAAGTCGATAAGTGTGAAATTATAGGATAATCGAGACGGACACCTTAGTCATTAGGAATAGAAAATAGGGTAGGCCAAGGAAATCTTATTGTAATCTTAATATATATCTCTTTTATAATTATAATAATACAATAAAGCCTAATATTAATACACATCCCTCTCATAACATATATATTATAATATAATAAAAATAAAAACATTTACAATATTTCTCAAAAATATTTCGATTAACAATTTAAAGGCTGTTTATTGAAATACCCTACTCTATAAAAAATGTGAAGGGAAATAAAAATGTAATTGCAGACATTAGATGAAACATGAAACACTGGATATAACAATTGACCATAGATTTTAATTACTCAAGCAACTAAATTTTAAACAATAAAAGTAATTTCCCAGACTATATATAATAGCAATGAGAAATAATTATTACTTACTTTTATCTAATTGTAAGTAGCCAATAGACGACCCCACGAAAAGGAAAAGCAAAGCAATCGCGAACATTGTAAACAAACGTTCAGATGGAAACAAAATAATCCATCGAATGAATGTATTAATTAAAATCGTTTTAAAACCAAGAAGAGCGACTAAATGACACTAGCATGAACATGGCTGACACCAGTACTGACAGCAGCATTATCATCAGCATAGAGTAGACTCTTGTAATCACCGAAGTGCATAAAAGAATAATGAATCCGGTTTTTTAAACGTGTACGTTTTATACCTTAATATTTTAGATCATCTCTAAATAAGTTTAATTATCTCGTACATATGAAATATTTTATGTTTTACCATAATGAAATAGCTAGGCGACATAACGAAAAATATCTATTTATTTGACTGAGATCGTTTATTGTACTCACTCAGTCAAGGCAGTGCTTTCAATCATTGTCAGTTAATCACTTGACTATTTTGATCTGTACACCTGTCTGTGTTTTTCTAGGATATTAGTTTTCTGTGCTGTTTATTATTTATTATTGTAAATATTTAATTGTTTCTTGATATTATTCTAATATATATTCGTTTATTTGTTTCATATTAACTTAAATTATTCATTATAATCTTTACCTAGGGGTAAATAGAGAGAAAAGTGTCATTCCTTAGTATTATGTATCCAAAGTCGTAGAAACTAATAAAAATGAGTAAGAAACCGATTTCGTTTGGTAAAATAAGTTTCAATTTGAAGAAAGACGCCGATACCAACAAAAACGATGAACAAACTGCCTCAGGATTTGGCACTTTTGGACGTACTCCTATACAGGAGCAGAAAGAAATAGAAGAAATAGCTGAGGATTTGGAGAACCAGCATGTCCAGCAAGTTATGGGCATCAAGAACTTCGGTAAGAAAGCGAAGAATTTCAACATAGAAGAAATGATGGAGCAGGCAAGAAAAACTGCTTCTGAAGTGAATAAAAGGAAACTGGAAATTGAGGATAGTAAGAAAGCTGTGGAGACAGAGGAAGTACATGAGAGTGATGATGAGGATTTAATAGGTCCTCCTCTACCTCCAGGATTGTTTCAAGGTGCTCCATCTGAGACAGATAAAGTAAGAGAGGTGGATAAAAATAAAGAGGATGAAAGTGATGAGGATAGTTATGATGAATTGAGTGGGTCTGATGATGAAGAATTAAGCTTGGAGAAACGGATACCCAACACACATGAGGTAATTGCACATGTAATCATAATCTTCTATCTGTTCCTCTAGTGTCATAGAACTATAAACAAAATTCATTTCTTTGATGCGCTGGCAATAATTTTAATAAACTATCTGAAAGTGTTAATTATGATTGTGTGGGACTATGTATAGGGCACTGGGGTTGGTGCAGCCAACAATGGTGGCAATTAAAGGCGCAATATTTAAAAGTAACAGTATATTATAAAAATATATGTTGTAACATATAAGAAAGCAAGAGCAATAGAAGGAATAAGGAATTATAACAAAACCATAGCAACCAATATAAAACATAAATATTTAAAAACTAACTGCCCCGCATGACTTCATCTGCATCACACTTATTATATATATAAAAATATATTATATAAATTGGGTGATACATAATTATCACCCAATTTATATAATATATTTTTAAATTGTAGCATATATGATATTTAACCCCTTAAGGGTAAAATTTTTACAAACTTTGAATGTCATATTAATTCATATTTAATCGACAGCCTCAAAAATAAGTTTTAAGCGTTTAGCTTCAAAAATGACGATTCTTCCATACAAATTTTCATCCCCACTTTCAACCCCTTACAACCCTTTTTTCGCATTCAAAAATAGCCTATGTCTTTTCTCAGGGTCCAGACTATCTGTGTACCCAATTTCATTTAAATTAGTTCAGTAGTTTTGGTGTGAAAGCGAGACAGACAGAGTTACTTTTCATTTATAATATTAGTAAGGAAAAGGAATTGCTATACCAGCCAGTGGCCTGGATGTAAGGAGTCCTGTATAACAATGGCCACGGTAGTTCATTGGTTTACCACACTTTACCTCTAATGGTTGCAGGTTCAATTCCTCACACAGTATAAACATTTGTATTCATGAATATGATTGTTTGTATCAGTCTAGGTGTTTTCTATATGTATGTATTTATAAAAAAAATTATGTCTTTATACAAGTTTTGCTTTGCATTGGAACAAGAAAGCGCTGTGTGAATTGTCCAGGGTTATTTATTATTATTATAGTAACCTCTTTTAAAAAATTCATAAACAGTGAGAGATGGCAAGAATTGTATTGCTTAGGACTCCTACTTTAAGGAATTCTGTAGAACAAATAAGTTATAAAACCAACTTGTGAATAGTCTTAACATAAATGTAAAATCTATAAATTAATTCTTAAAATCACACTGTTTTCCAGGTGGAAATGCAGCATGGTACGAAGGCAGTGGTGGCACTGGCTGTGGATCCATCTGGTGCCAGATTAGCCACAGGATCTATTGATTATGACGTCTCTTTCTGGGATTTTGCTGGTGAGTTCATAACAGTGCTGTAGTAAACTTTATATTGACAAAATGCTAAAAAATAAAATAAATCATTAATCGAATAAATTTAAGAATAGAAAAAAAATATATAAACTTGTATTTAAGCAGTTTTGATTCTTACTTTTTAAATCTGGATGACCTCAGTGGTCTAGTGTTTTAGCAGTGTTTTAGCACAGCTTTACATCCAATGGTTGTGGGTTTGATTCCTCACATGATGCAAATATTTGTATTCATGAGTATGGTTGTTTGTATCAGTCTTGGTGTTTTCTATGTTTATTATTTACAAAAAAATTATCGAATTATTTATATCAGTTGTCTAGTACCCTTAACACAAGCTCTACATACCGTGGGACTAGATGGCGCTATGTTAATTGTCTAGAGTTATTTATACCAATGAATGAATGACTTTTTATACCAATATTTCTTATTCTATTATTTGCCCATAGATCTTCATGATTACATAGTATAAAATAAAGACGCTGTCTGTCCGTCCTTATGTGCGCTTAAATCTCTAAAACTACAACAGATTTTGAAGCGGTTTTTAATAGATAGAGTGATTCAAGAGGAAGGTTTATTTATATAATATATGTACACCCGTGCGAAGCTGGTGCGAATAGCTAGTTTATGAATAAAGCATAGGGACCTAAGTGAATAAATAACATGAGTTACAATCTAAATCTTCAGGTATGGACTCATCTCTTCGTTCCTTCCGGACGCTCCAGCCATGTGAGAACCATCCTATTAAAGCACTACAGTACTCCGCTACTGGAGACTCCATCCTGGTGGTGAGCGGCTCTGCCCAGGCTAAGGTTTTGGATCGCGACGGCTTCGAAGTCCTGGAGTGTGTTAAAGGAGACCAGTATATAACGGATATGGCAAGGTATTTTAGATAAATGATCTAAATATATATAACTCAAAGGTGACTCACATAGTGATCTATCAACGCACAGCCCAAACCACTGGACAGATCGGGCTGAAATTTGGCATGCAGTTAGATGTTATGTTATTAGTTCTACCCCCAAGGGGATGAAACTTTGTATGAAACTTTGTACAAAGTATAAAGAAAATATTTCCATAAAAAAAACTTGTGTATGAAATTTTCCGTCAGATGATTCCATTCGATAACCAAACTTATTATTTACAGAACAAAAGGCCACACGGCTTCTCTAAACAGCGGATGCTGGCACCCACATATTCGAGAGGAATTCATGACCTGCGCCCAAGACGGTACCCTCAGATTGTGGGTCACAGAAAACCCCAAGCAGCACAAGGCAGTCATAAAGCCACGGCAACAAGGAGGCCTGAAAACTAGTCCGACCTCTTGCGTCTTCTCGAGAGATGGCAATACTGTAGCATGTGGTTGTTACGACGGTTCCATTCAAATGTGGGATCACAGAAGAAACTTCGTCAATACAACACTAGTGTTAAGAGATGCACATCAAAAACAGTCGGAAATTTCAAGTGTAGCGTACTCTTATTTAGGTTCATTCATAGCCAGTCGAGGCAATGATGACACTTTAAAATTATGGGATTTAAGAAACTTTAAGAAGCCTTTGAAAGTATTCGACAATCTCTTTTCGAGGTATGAGCAAACTGATTGTTCTTTCAGTCCAGATGATAGCATGGTATTCACAGGAGAGTCACTCCAGAAAGGTCAAGATGTTGGTAGGTTACTGTTCTACAATACGAAGACTTATGAACCAGTTATGCACTTAGATGTAACAAAATCACATGTAATCAAATGCATTTGGCACGCGAAATTGAACCAAATATTCGTTGGATGCGGAAACGGCGTTGTCAAATGTTATTATGACCAGAAACGAAGCTTGAGAGGCGCTAAGTTGTGCATCGTAAAGATTCATAGAAAGAAACATTCGGTAGAAGTTGTTAGCTCACAACAGATCATCACTCCACATGCGTTGCCACTCTTCAGACAGGAGAAGTTGCGTACGAGCAAGAAAAAGATGGAGAAGGATCGCTTGGACCCCGTTAAGTCTAGAAGACCAGATTTACCCATCACTTCCGGTCAAGGTGGCAGAGTTGCTGCATCGGGTAGCACCCTAAGTTCTTTTGTTATTAGGAACTTAGGGTTAAGTAAAAGGGTTGACGATGAACAGGATCCGAGGGAGGCCATCTTGAAGTACGCGAAGGAGGCAGAGGAAAATCCCTTCTGGGTCGCGCCGGCGTACAAGAAAACGCAACCCGAAACTATATTCCAGTATAATGAAAGTGAGGACGGCCCGTCAGATGCTAAGAAACAAAAACAATCGTAGAATGCAATGAAATTATTGTAAATAAATTAATATTGTTTATTAATTTTCCTTTTTATTTATAGACTAAGTGTTATATCGCCACTTCGTCCGCATAAAACATAGTGTTCGTCTCTGTGGACAATTTATTGTCACATCGTCACATCTGAGTTTTGTTTTAGTCTTAAAAATTTATCCTTGCAAACAACACATTGATTGACTGATTTTGAAAGTACGACAATGTAGTAGGTATCACAGATTTTGAATTTCTAAAAATTTTAATGCATGAATTTTATTCAAATTATAGTGTAGTGTGATATTTAAATTTAGCAAATTTAAATATGTAATTAGTCATTCATACAAATATTATAAAGTACTCCGAAACTGATCAATTGAAAAAAAATCATAATCATATAAGGATTATTACAAACTCTTATGATATGTCAAAACTCGCGTCAGTTTAGAGTGCTTTCGAGCTAAGAACTGTCAAGAAACTCAGCTCTAATTAATTTCAAATAAACTCAAGATTACAAAAATATGGAATGTTGTACCACCAGCATATGCTGTTGCCGTTTTGTCAAAAGCAAATAATCAGTGGCCGTAACACAACCATGATGGTATTCTGGAAGTTTTGGGTTACAAAACTACTATTTGAATGTCAAAATTAATAATATCCTGATATTAAAAAACAATTCCACTATATTTAAATATTTATAATTTCAGGCAAGTCAGTCTTTAGGTATACAATAAACAAAAGAAAAAGGCGAATTACTCACCACGAATTATCTTACTAATATATAATCGCGAAAGTTTGTGAGTATGGATGTTTGTTACTCTTTCACGCAAAAACTACTCAACCGATTTTGATAAAGCTTTGCAGTAATATAGCTTATATACATAGGATATAATTTTAAAAGATATTATGTGAGCGAATATCAATGAGAAATGTCAAGTAAGTCTGATGCAACAAAGAACGCGAAGAAGTTTCGCGGATCAGCTAGTACCGTAATATGTGATAAACTCTTATATACTCATATTTTCTTAGATATAAAGAAAAAATAAAAAACCAACATATATGCTTAAATATATTTATGTTTACAACTTATAAATGCTATCTACAGACTACAGACTGAGGTAATTCATCGCGCGCGCGCCGCTACGATCTCGCTGGCATCGTGTCTTTCCACGTATTTGTTGATGGGCGACCTTGCTGGATTCTGTAATTTAAACATCTAATGAGTTAGTAACAATATGCTGAAACTCAGGTAGGGTACCCCCTCCAATCAAGCCCCGTCATACTTTTACACACACACGACACCGTCCTCGCCGGATAAGACGACGACCTCAAATCAACGTAGCGCGCAATCAACCAGGTGCCTACGCGCGCCCGGGCGCCCCACACCGGTACCCCCGTCCAATTCAAACGGGGATCGAAATTACCACGGCCTCAGCCGAGGTTCAAACTCCTAGCGTGCCTTTGACTAAAGTCGTATCCGTCAGGCGGGAGTTGGCATTCAGCCGCTCCATAAGTCCTTCCGCGGGTTTGGAGTGCCATCTGCACTCGCCCCCTATCGTCCGATGATGTAAAGTAAAGTGCTGTAAAGGCCAGCTGCGGCTAACAGCATTAGAGTAGTCCGAAATAAAAAAGTAAAAAAATTACAATAAACAAATAAAACTCTTCATGATCAATAAAGACCTCTTTCACAGATTTCTTAACCGCCTTACTTCCGATGGTTGCGGGTTCGATTCCTCGTACTATACAAACATTTGTATTCATGCGTATGATTGTTTGTATCAGTGTGGGTATTTTCTATGTATAATATGTATGTATTTACGGAAAAAAATATATATCTATGTATTTGTGTCAGTTATCTAGTACCCTTAACAGAAGCTTTGGCTAGCTTAACTTAGGTCTGGATGGCGCTGTGTGAATAGAATAGAATAGAATAGAAAATCATTTATTCAAATAAACTTACATTGAAGCACTTTTGAATAGTCATTACATTTTTTAATCTACCGCTCGTTCGGAAAGCTGTCTCATCACAAGAAGAACGAGCAAGAAACTTGCGTGTTGCTCTTTTAAATAATTTTATTATTACTTTACATTTTTAAGTTTAAGTGTGTGAATACAAATTGTCATGAGATTAATATTAAATAGTCTTAGATAATAAACTTACCAATTTCTTAGCTCTCTCCGTAAGTATAGAGAAGGCGAAGTGATTTAATATGACTCCTGTAGGTAAAGCTACACCTTGGAACCTGTGCAGCTGTTTGACTTCACTGTCTGTTGAACCTATAAAGAATTAAGTACATTATTTTTTTAATAGATAAAGATCTAAAAATAGAAATAATCCATATTTTAACTCAAAGGTGACTAACATAATGATCAATCAACGCACAGCCCAAACTACTGGACGGATCGGGCTGAAATTTGGCATGCAAGTAGATGTTATGACGTAGGCATCCGCTAAGAAAGGATTTTGATTAATTCTACCCCCATGGGGATAAAATAGGGGATGAACGTTTGTATGAAACATTGTCAATTTTTAACCTCGGGCTGAGACTTCGCATGCATAAAGCTACTATGACGTAGGCTTCCCCTAAGAAAGGATTTTGATGAATTCCACCCATAAGGGGATAAATTAACGCGAGCGAAGCCGCGGGCAAAAGCTAGTACTTAAATAAAATTACAACATGCAAATCTACAAAATTTGACCGAATTGCAGAGGTAACGCCACTACACATCTTATGTGGTTGTAGCCCACTCATGCATAAACGAAATATCTCCTTTAGAAAGTTTACACTATCCTGAAGATATAAAAACCATCGTTCCTAAGAATATCCTTCAATTCTTGTCCCTGACGGATCTAGGTAGCGAACTTTGAAAAAGGGCGAGTACAATAGATGTATGTAGGTCGCAGTGATACAGGTTTTAAGCACCTGACAATAGCCCAAATCCCTCAATAAAAAAAAACTCAAACTTTATATAAGCACTTTTGAATATTCATATATATTTTTTATTCTACCACTCATTTGGAAAGCAGACTAGGTACAAGAAGAACGATGAAGAAACTTGCGGGTTGCTCTTTTAAATATTTTTTTTTTCATCTTTACATATTTATGTATTTGTGTAAATACAAACTACTAAATAGCAATATAGGCATAAGTAATATAACAGAATTATTGTTATTCAATTTTATCTATATCATGAGGGATGAGAAACAATTGATTTTGAACAATATCGATCATTTTTCTACAACTAAACGATATTTCTGAATGATAATATTCTAAAAGTTACGATTATGTATTTAATATCGATATTTTTATACAATTTTTCTATTCATGTGGCCTAAAAACAACAATACCTTATGCCCAATTTACACTCAGCCCGAGTGGGCAGGGAAGTGAGCAGCGCGAGAGTGGAAACACTTCCCATGCCATTGGCGCTGCCACTCGCGCTGCCCGGCGCTCCCTCGATTGTCGATTTCTCGTGCGCGAGTCCAAAGGACTGGCAGCGCGAGTGGCAGGGGAAGCGGCTGAATGTAAACCTAGCATTAGGACCATTGTTAACTAAAGTAATTCATGGAATGGAAAATATAATGACTACTATAAAAAATAATCGATTTTTTACATTGTCATATTGCAGTAATTTTGTACTAGTAAATTACCAGTTAATTTGTGTATAGAGGTGATTGATACTCGTCCGATTTGCGCCGTATTGCTGATCAGAGGGCCCTTCGATATGTCCACGTGCTTGCCCACTCTGTAGAGAGTGACTTTGCCTGCAAATATAAAGTAAATAAAAATAATAAAAAGTATATTCGGGCCCCGTGTGCTCTTATGGTAAAGACGGTATTGTGTGTATGGTAATATTATCTAGGACAAAAGAACAGAAGACAATCCTCGATGTTCTTTTATCACAATTGTGGTTAAATCCTTGTGAATTCAGCGCGATGTGCTAACTGACCTGACTGACTGAATCATTCATTATATTTTCCTATACGTTATACTGATGTATAGCTATATTACTGTAAAGGTTGATCAAAATCCGTGCTGTAGTTTTTGCGTGAAAGCGTAACGAACATTCATCCATCCACACTTGATATTAAGAAACCTATTATTAGGTATACTATTGGTTTTTACGTTCTGTTTCTATGTATTCTATGTGCTGTTGGTTTCAATAAATAAATAAATAAATACTTAAACACTTTCGCGTTTAAAATAACAAAGAGATGAATCTTTCCTCACTGTACAAATTACACTCACCGTTAGTTTTGGCTATGTTTGGTATTTGACTAGATTTATGTTCATTTTCTATAAACATCTCCAGAGCCAAGTCTTGGCTGACCTCCAGCCTCTCTATAAGGTGACCTTGGCGTGCAAACTTGACGAATTCCGCTGTAATGGTGTACAGCTCGTGTTGACTTGGCGTCCAGTCTGGTAGGGATGGGAGATCTATGTCGTATATAAAGGAACCGCTACGAACTGGAAAAAACAACAATAAAATGACTTAATAGATTTGTATTACTATTTTTTTCAGACTACTCTAATGCCGCATCTGGCCTTTACAACTTCACCGGATGATAGGGTGCGAGTGAAGATGGCACTTCAAAGCCGCGGAAGGACTTATGGAACGGCTAACGGCCAACGCCCGCCTGACGGATACCACTTTACTCTAAGGGCACCGCTAGGACGTTAGATCCTCGGCTTAGGCCGTAGTAATTTCGATCCCCGTTTGAATTGGACGGAGGATCGATCGGAGTGGATTATCACATGCTTCTTACTTGTTGCTACGTATTTATTTACTTAAAATAACATTTCTTCAAAAAAGCAAGACGCAAGTTTCTTACTCGTTCTTCTTGTGATGAGTCTATGTTTCAAATGAGTTGTAGAATAAATAACATAACCATGAAATATGCTAGTAAAATAAACTCAATATTTTGAATAAACATTATTTCTATTTTTGTTTAATTCCGGTTTCATTAGTATCTGTGAGACCACGAATATTTTTTTTTTAACTATGATGGACAAACAAGAGTATGGACCATCTGATGGTAAACGGATACCGTAGCCTATGGACGCCTGAAACACCATGGGTCTCACGTGTACCTTGCCGACTCTTACGAAATCTTAATATATTACTAGGAAAACCCCATGCTGTAGTCTCTAAAGAAAATATATATTTTAGTTATTTTGTTGTCTAGTACCTATAACAGAAGCTCTGCTTACCGCGGGACTAGATGGCGTTGTGTTAATTATCTATGGTAAAGAAAAAAATATACTAACTGTCAGGTCCGGGAAAACTGTGCAGTTTAACAGTAACATCATTCTTGAACGCTATAGACGCACACGCTCCTAGCACCAAAGAGCATGTCTTCCAGAACGCCTTGTTCACTTGCTGAGGTTCAGCTACTGTGAAGTTCTGGAACTGAGCAATATAATACAAAATAAATATATATAAACATACCAAGTACTTTTTTTTTATAGTTTTTTTTTATTTATTATACAGTGTTTTGTGTGTACTCGATTTTGGGCTACTCTTCTCCAGTAGGGACCTGCTGTTAGCTTGATTTCATCCTCCTAGCGTCTCTGTGGTCTACCTCTTTTTCTTTTTGTTTCCCTTAGATACCATTCAGTTACGCAAGTAGATAGATAGTTAGATAACATTTTTATTCACGTTAAAGACACACATGTTTTTAACGTGAATAAAAATTTTACCCCTACTGGAGAAGAGCATCCCAAAATGGAGTTCACTGGAAGAAATTAGAGGAGGCCTTTGCCATAAGGCACTCTGTCTGTAACCGATGGAGGCACGCTAATCGATGAAATTTTGGTCTCGATCGGTCAAGCCGTTTCGGAGGAGTATCGTTACAAAGTGTGAAAAGCTGATCTCTGAGATGGCCCTGCGTTTCGCGCTCCGTTCAATTATCATTACATAGTTAGTATAAAAGAAAGTCGCTGTCGCTGTCTGTCCGTTCCTGTATATGCTTAAATCTTTAAAAGTACGCAATGGATGTGTTTATATGTTCATCATCTGCTTCTTCCTTATCCCATTTATTTGTGGTCGTCGTAATATGTTTTTCTCTTCCATTCATCCCTATTCGCAGTCATCTCGTTATTTACTTCCTTTCTTACCATATCATCTTTCACACGGTCCATCCATCTCTAATAAGGCATAAGGCACTCTGTACTGTGGGATATAATATAAATAATGAAATTAATAATTAAATAAAGAAAATCAAACTACTTAACAAATGTGCAAATAATAATAGTAAAATATATCTTATATATAAAATTCTCGTGTCACAATTTTCGTTCCCATACTCCTCCGAAACGGCTTGACCGATTCTCATGAAATTTTGTGAGCGTATTGAGTAGATCTGAGAATCGGCCAACATCTATTTTTCATCCCCCTAAATGTTAGGGGTAGTCCACCCCTAAATTTTTATTTTTATTTTTAGACAAAATTTTTAGTTTCTGTTTTTTTATGATACAAGATACAAAAATACATACAATCCTAAATTTTCACCCTTCTATCATCAACCCCTATTTTTTATAGCGTTATTAATTTATATGGCAAAACAATTTTTGCCGGGACAGCTAGTATATATATAATTATATAATAATAATAAATTTATAGTATAATATAATAATATAAATGAACATGAATGTAACAAAAAAAAATGTATTAAAAGTACAGAAATAATGGCTTCTTTATCTTAAACATACCAACACAATTATTCTGCCAGTAAGGGTATCTTATGGACCACAATGAAATGATGCACCCGCCTGCGCTAACGGTTTACGCTAGCGAGGCAGCAGTAAAGGATGATAAGATGATCATGAATTCAGTTCAGCCCATCATGGTAAATTAACCATGATTTATCACAATGGTTTCCAGGGGGAACCACATGGAGGTAACATGACATGGTACTTTGTTAGCGATGGGGTTATTTTCACATTACTAACAATCCCCTTTCCCCCAGAAAGAGTAATGTGAGCATTGTGAATATTGTGGGTGCTTACCCACAATATTGACAATGTTCACCTTTATGCTTATAAAGGTTGTGTAGTTTTTATTGATTCACCTTGATAATAATAATAATCACAAAGCGCCATTTAGACCCAAGTTAAGCTAGCTAAAGCTTGTGTTATGGGTACTAGACAATTGATACAAATACATAGATATATTTTTTCATAAATACATACAATTATGCTCAAGAGTACAATTTTTTGTGCCATGCGCAGAATCGAATCTACAACCATCACATGTAAGGCGGAATGCTAAACCACTAGACCATAGACGCTGTGCAATATTATCTTCTATTTTAAAAAAAATTAAAGTTACAAATAACTGTTAGTAAATCACAAGTGAAGTTAAAGAAACTATACATACCTCTAAAGTGCAATTTTCTGTAAGAGGTCTGTGCATGTCCCAGTACACATTTCCATCAATCAATGCTAGAGCACTAGACTCAACATGCCACTCGCTCATATCTGAAAATGAAATGTAGATAAATTAATAAAATAATCCACTTGTTATAGGAATTTTTTTTTATTGGGTTGTTCGGGCTATTTTTCAGGTGTTTGTAGCACTTGTAGCACTGCGACCTACATAGATCTATTGTGCTCGCCTTTTTTCAGAGTTCGCTACCTAGACCCGTCAGGGACAAGAATTGAAGGATATTCTTAAGAGTGATGGTTTTTATCTCCTCAAAAAAGAGTATTCCAATATTTCAGTGATATTTCGTTTATGCATGAGTGGGCTACAACCACATAGGATGTGTCATGTGTGTCATTTGCCAAATGTTATAGGATACCATAAGACCATTTATTAACATATATTATTATTACATCATTCCTCAAATTAATAATATATATTAGCAATTAATAAAAAATTATACTAACATTAATAAAATATTCTTTCTTATAAACTACTTTCGGAATTATTCTCATTTAAAGGTTTTTTTTAAATTAGATGGTAATTCTTATCTTTAATTTTTGCCACTTTACCATACTAAAAGGTGATATATAGAAGCTATATAAATTTATATAAATTTATATATATATATATATATGATGTCTATCAAAATTCTTTATTAGAGGGTGTTCATTATACAAAAATATATAACAATGTTCTTAATAGAAAATACAATATATGTATATATTTGTATAACTCTTTATGTTTATGTTAGATTATACAATTTATAATTCGATTTTTTTTATTAGTGTTTGTCATTTTATGAACACCAATTACCCACTCACACAACATAACACTTATGTCACTGTTTTGGGTTGACTGAAACTGATCTCTTCTAGGGATAAGTCCACCTCTGCTCACATTGTCTCTATATTATATTATTAATGCATTATCTGTGCAATAAAGAATATATTATAATAAATTCAAAACTAAACTTACGTTTAGCACAATCGTAGGGCGTAGAAATATCTTTATTCATAACCAAAGTCACATTTTTCGGAACACCTTTGTAATTAACTTCAATTTTTTCTATTCTCCCAATCTTTTCCTGTTGCCGTTTTTTTTCTAATGTAAAAAGATGATTGCGGCGGTCTGTTGCCTCTTGAGTACTAAGATATCCTAAAAAAACATAAAACAAATGTTTATTTTTTATATAAAAAAATACAGTAATTATAATAAAACAACATACTTGCAACCGGTATTGTTTTAGCATGATTGTTCTGCATAAGTATCCTCGATAAACATGTAATATGTCGCTTCATAATTTATATTATTGATTTTGAATTGTTAAATTAAATATTCAATTTGAGGTTATAATTTATATTTTCTTTTCGAGTTCATGGACAATGACAGTTGATTGACATTCAGACGCAACGAGATGACATTCTGATTGATATTAACCGTATTTTTTTTTATTGTATTCCTTTCAACATAGCAAAGTAACTATGTTGGGTAAAAAAGGGAAACTAAGGACCAACCTGGTTCGTGTCGTCCCCGCGTGCAGGTCTTATTATACGCGTAGCCGTTTCACTTTAAAAACGCACAACACTACGATGAATTTCACTGGATGATGTACTAATCAGATGATTGCGCGAAGATCGCGGCTGATGGTTCCGTTAACGTTGATTCGCGGAGAATATGTCGATTTGCGTGTGCTCGACGCGACGTACAACGAACGACTCATTTTGTTGATGCTACCCCCAGATTTGGTGGATAAAAATAGGAGTAGGATTTAGGGTAGTAACATATTGCAAGTTGGCTAGAAATTAGTAGATTTATATCAACCATACCGCCCCCCAAAGAGCCTCTAAGCTCTTTAGAGAATAAAAAAAAAAGTAAGATATGAAACTGCAAAGGTTTCCAATAATGTTAACTATAAAAAAAAAAAAATAATAATGAGATGTAACTAAACTAATAATACTATAAGCTAAGGTTCGATAGCATAAGAATAATGATCGGCTTTAGGCACAAGGTAATAATGGACAAATCTTGACTACTGGTCGAAGTAACGTACCAGTAGAAGTTTTCAACTCTACCACCCTAACAGTACCGTCAGAACCTGGACAAATTTTAGTTACCCTAGCAATTTTCCAACGAAATGGTGGCAAATTGATCTTTCAGCAATATATATACTTGAACGTTAGGTAGTTTAGCAAGCCATTTGGGTCGCTGTTGTAATGTATGAAGATATTCGGATTGCCAACGCTTCCAAAAATTATAGACGAACTGTGCGTTATTTGCCGTACTAACTGCCAACGCTTGAGAAGATTTGATTCTATTATTTCTTCTTCAGGTAATGAAGATACCGATGATAAAATGGCCAGGAGTTAAAACGTCCAGGTCATTTGGATCATTTGTCATAGGTACTAAAGGACGTGAAAAAAACTTTAGTGAAGATGGTAGCTAATTCTTCGTAAACCAGTGAGCGATCGCCAATTACACGAGTAATGATTAATTTGGCAGAGCGAACAGCACTCTCCCATAAACCACCCATGTGTGGACTCGGGAGGATTCAAATGCCAAACTATTTGTTGATGAGCTAAATATTTATGGATTTCCTCATGAGAATTTATAATATGTTGCGTAACATCTTTTATAATTCCGAGCACCAACAAAATTGGTCAATCGCTAAATACGTCGCTAGAAGTCCCCTACGAGAAACAAACCGATCGAAGCATGCAAGAAACGCTTCAGTAGACAACTCTGAAACAATTTCCAGATGAGTACATTTGGTAGTAAAACATACAAAAATACAGAGATACGATTTTACGGACTTGGCGTTTCGGATACGAGAAGTTGTTATGAAAAACGGGCCCGCAAAATCGATCCCAACCTTTTGAAAAGGTCGACAGGATGTTACTCGGTGGGAGGGTAGATCTCCCATAAACGGTTCAATAGATCTAGGTCGTGATCTATAACAACGTTGACAACGAAAAATTTGTTGGCGGACAATTCGACGCGCTGATATAATCCAAAAGTATTTTTGTAATAAATTTAGAAGGGAATTTAGACTAGGATGTAAAAAGACATGATGATAATAGTCAATTATCAATCGTGTCACGTGGTGTGCCTTAGGAAGTAGCAATGGATGCCTTGTGTGGTACGGCAAATTAGAATTGGTAAGCCTTCCACCTACTCTTACGAGACCGATGTTGTCGAAAAATAAATTAAGTCTCATGAGACCACCTTTAATAGATTTGTTTTCCTGTAGCCTTTTAATTGTTCCAGAGAATTCCGAAGACTGAACCAATCGAATGATAGTGTGAGTGCTATCAATCAACTCGGCCACACTAATTGGTCCAGTTCTTCGTTGTGAAGGCTTGCGTAGATTGTGACAGAAACGTTTGCTCAAGCTACTATACATCGTAACTTGGTAAACGAGCTGTACTTGGTGAGAAAAGGAGGCTCCGTAATAGTATGCGTGACATAAGCTGCAGGATAGGAGGACCGTACACCAGGCAAGTCGGCTTCGCTAAGTTCTGATGATTCATTAGGCCATGTTGAATCGTCCATTTCAAGCCATGATGGACACCACCATAAGGGATGATCAACTAATTCAGTAGGAGTAAGGCCTCGACTGGCTGAATCAGCTGGATTCATCATGGACGGTACGTGTTTCCACGTGACATTGGAAAATAAATTTTGGATTTGGGATACACGGTTCCCTTCATAAGTTTGAAGTTTGTGAGGTGTAAGCCACGATAGGACTATGTTCGAATCACACCAAGCAATGACAGTAGTGATTGACATTTTGACATTTAAAATGTCAAACACGTGTTTGGTTAAGCGAATGAGTAAAAGTGCACCGTTTAATTCCAATTTGGGAATAGTTAGTTTTTGTTTGAGTGGTGCTACCCGTGATTTTGCAAGTAATAATTTAACATAATTACCATGAGTATTTTGAATACGCAGATAGATGCAAGCGGCATTCGGACGCATCACTGAAACCGTGCAATTGACATACAAACGGTTGATCAGTGATAACGTAACGTGATATAGATACTTTATTAAGATGAGGAAAATCTGCTATTAATTCCTCAAATTACATTCTAGTGGCCCCTTGGTGCTTCGTAGAAAGTGACTATTAAAATATGGATCGTAAAGTCTCCCAACTTCTATAAGAACTTTAAATAAGAATAGCCGTTTATTTATAAAATACTTAAAGGATGGTTACTATGTGAAAAAACAATATTATAATGTGAGAGAGTGATTATTTGAATGATGTAGTTTAGTTTTTATGTAACATTTAATTAATGTATATTATAATATATAACTGGATGAATAATATTAAATTATATGTTATAACTATTTATAATAATAGTAATAATAATGTTATGTTTGCGTTTGACCCTAAACAGTGGTCCATAATGATCGAAATCATATTATAAACATCTTTCACTGTAATATTATGGTCACTTGATATGCAATAAATATTCAATGTAATCCCTTGAAGGCAACATAAAGTTTGCAACTTCTCATAAGCATGAGTATATATAAATTTATATAAATTTATATATATATATATATATGATGTCTATCAAAATTCTTTATTAGAGGGTGTTCATTATACAAAAATATATAATAATATTCTTAATAGAAAATACAATATATGTATATATTTGTATAACTATTTATGTTTATGTTTGATTATACAATTTATAATTCGATTTTTTTTATTAGTTTTTATCCTTGTTTTACTACAATTACCCACTCAATAACACTTATGTCACTGTTTTGGGTTGACTGAAACTGATCTCTTCTAGGGATAAGTCCACCTCCGCTCACATTGTCTCTATATTATATTATTAATGCATTATCTGTGCAATAAAGAATATATTATAATAAATTCAAAACTAAACTTACGTTTAGCACAATCGTAGGGCGTAGAAATATCTTTATTCATAACCAAAGTCACATTTTTCGGAACACCATTTTGTAATTAACTTCCAAAAATTTAATTAAATTCTCAAATGTAGGTATAGTTTTTTCTATTCTCCCAATCTTTTCCTGTTGCCGTTTTTTTCTAATGTAAAAAGATGATTGCGGCGGTCTGTTGCCTCTTGAGTACTAAGATATCCTAAAAAAAACATAAAACAAATGTTTATTTTTTATATAAAAAAATACAGTAATTATAATAAAACAACATACTTGCAACCGGTATTGTTTTAGCATGATTGTTTTGCATAAGTATCCTCGATAAACATGTAATATGTCGCTTCATAATTTATATTATTGATTTTGAATTTTTAAATTAAATATTCAATTTGAGGTTATAATTTATATTTTCTATTCGAGTTCATGGACAATGACAGTTGATTGACATTCAGACGCAACGAGATGACATTCTGATTGATATAAACCGTATTTTTTTTTATTGTATTCCTTTCAACATAGCAAAGTAACTATGTTCATACAACTTTAAATTGTATTATTGAAAGATGATGGAAAAAGGTAGATATACGCTAAGACTAATATGGCCTAAGTGTTAGCTTACACCTTATTAAAAAAAAATAACAGTTTTGTTTTCTTAGATCACAGGTTGTATGTATGTGAAAAATAATATCTTGAGCCAATAAATATTCAACTTTTAGAATTTATTCTTTTAGCATTTTGCCTGCTTAGTTTCAAATTAATGCAATGTGTAATTTTTGTTTTAATATACAAATAAAAATAATTAACAAAATTAGTAGTGTTTATAGTTACATACATAACTACAAGTTAATAAATGAGTATATTTCAAGACAATTTAAGTTGTAGCACAGATAACATAATATTACATAGTTGTAGTAATAATGCTTGTCAAGTTCAACAATCAAGTCATAGTAATAATGCCAGTTTAAACTGAAATAATTTTTATTTCAAAATAATTATAAACAACAATGAATACTATATATTATTAATACATATTATCCAACCATAGTTCTCTTCCTGCCTCTTGCTCTTACATCTTCAAACTTAGCCAGAATTTCTTTTACATTATTATGTTTACTGTAATTCTTATAAGCATCTAGAATCTTATTGAATAAGTTTGGAAAATCATTGTGTGTACTGATTAGAGCTCTTTCCAGCACATACAAATCCACACCCATATCTTCAGTGCTCGAGTCGACATATGATAAACCAAAGTCTATCATTATTAACTCTATATTATTTATTTGAAGCCATCTTGCATCATCATCAGTACCTTTAGGTTTCTTTTCAACGAGTAGCATATTGGAAGTTGTTAAATCACCGTGAATTATATTATTTTCATGTAATTTTTTGACAGTGTGGCCTATCATGGTAGCAACAGAATTTAAAACATTCTCAGTATCGCCGGCACCATTTTGCTCCGTCTTTTTGACA